TTGGGGAATGGGGATGGGTGAGTCTTGGGGGATGGGGGTGGAGTTGTGTACCTAGGGGCGTTATGGCTGTCTCTGCTGAGTCATGCAGTTTGTCAGTGAAGTGGGGGAAAGCCTGCAGTCACAGACCTCACCCAGCTCCCACGCATAACTGAAGGGCTGGTCTCACAACCACCATGCCCCCCCACAACAGCCCCGAGTGGCAAGATAGGCTTAAAAATCTGCCCCAGGCTACCTGCCTCCCAGCTGTGAACTAAAAAGGCTGGGTTCTCTCCCTGCCTGTGGAGTCTGCACACCGGATTTGCGTCCTCTCCCAAGTTCTGGCCAGGAGGCTTCTCACTCCGTTCAAATTGTTACAAAGTTCAGTTAGAGATTTCCTTCTCCCTGTGGAGTTGCACCCCCTGCTCCTCAGGCCACCTTCCAGATGAATCCCTGCGATGCCAGGCAGGAATGACCTGCAAGGGGACACAGTGAGCTCCCAGGGCCTTTCTGCTGCTTCCTCTACCCCTGTATTTCACTCGCCTCTCCACATTGACTCAGCTACAGGTAAAGTCGGAAACTTCTCCTGCAAACAGACCTTCAGCGTCTTCAGTGGGAGTGTGTGTTTGGGAGAGGAAGTTCCCCCTTTCCCACTTCCACAGCTGGGGCAGTCACAGTATTTGGATTGTCTGCTGGGTCCTGCAAGAGCAGTTTACTTCCTTCAGAGGGTCTGAGATTACTGGTATTGTTCTTGCAGTCAATCTGGGGCTAAAATTCACAATGCAAGCCTTCCCATGCTGCTCTGTCTGGGCCTGCGATCTAGTCCTGCCTCCTGTTGACACAATGATCTGTCCCCCTAAATCCGTTTCCTGACTCTTGATCTAAAATGTGCATCAGGGAAGCTCACTAAATAGGTAAATAAAGAGATTCGACAAAAGAAACTTTAGTGCATTCCTCAAGATTTCCTGCAAGGTCAGATATTACAGGTAAACAGTTTAGATTTTGGTTTGTGATTTGGAAACCTAGCATGAGTGACTCCATTTTGAGTTGCTCTGTTGGGTGTAATGCAGCAACTCAGTTCAAATCAGTGGCTTTTCATAATTTTATTTAATAATGCTATATGATCAAAGCTACAGGTAGGAAAAATAGTGGCTCTAAATGTTATTAAGCAAAGAGAATGAAAACAAATGGACTAAGTGTTCAGTCCAGAAAGGTAGGAAGGAAATAGCAAAATGCAAAAAGGAGTTAATACTGAGGTGGAAAGTGATGAATTTGATCATGGTTCTTCTGAAAAAAGAAAATAGAATTGACAACTTACATCAAAGACTATAAAAATTAGTAAAACAGTCATTGATTGGCACATCTAACTCTGAGAAAATAGATTTTTACATATAAAAGCATATTAAATTTGAAAATCAAAATGACATTTCTGACTTTCTCAAAATACAGTAAAATTGTCTTAAGACGTACGGACATAGAAACATGAAAGAAATTCCCAAATACTCATACCCAGCAAGGCACTAGAAATAGATGGTTTTAGAAGCTACTTATAGGAAACCTACAAGGAACAGATTATTCCTATACTATTTAAGCTACTATAAGGTGACAAGTATGGGAAACTTGACATTCTTTCTGTAAGTGAAACATAGCTGCTGTGGATATAGAACTGCCCAATAATATTGAAATGTTGAATGTGTCTGGATACCAAAAGCAAATTAATAGTACAAGAGAAGATAATTCTAGACCAATTACAAGTAAAATTAAAGATGTAGAACTCCTAAGTAAAATGTTAGTAAATCAAATCCAGGAGTGTTTAAAGGACTGGAACATGGAACCAAGTACTGTTTATTCCTAGATTATACAGTAATTCAGTAATTGGAAATCTATTACTTTAATTTGCTATATTAGGTGAGAAATTATCTTGAAGGATGAAGAAAAACTATTTGATAAAATTTAATATCCATTCCTAATTTTAAAAGTAGAACCCCAAGAAATTAAGACTAAATATTTTGTTTGCATAACAAAGTATTAATAGCAAACATCATGTTAATGGTGAAATGTTAAAGCATGGATTATCAACAGGAGGAATAATTCTTGAGGGGACAAAATAAATCTTGACATAAAGTAAAGATATACATATAGTATATAATACAGATATATATTATATTAATGGTATTATTAATGAAATTTCATGAAGGGCAATTAGGGAAAAAACCTAAAAAGACTCTTGGGGGCACTAATGACAATTTGGGAAACACTGCTCTAGAGGATTCCTCATTAGTTACAAATAAGACAGATGCTAGTACCACTGTTATTCAGCAGTGTTTTGAAAACTACATCAAACACAATGTCAGTTAAATAAATGACATAAACCTTGAAGAGTAAAAGCCACAATTATAGTACATGAAGATAGTAAGATTTTCTACATAAGAAACATAAAAGATCAGTTGAAAAATTATTTCAGGAGAGCTCAGTGACTTGACTGACTTCAAGATACTATATATTATGTGAACTCCCCAAGAACAGAACTGAATAATTCATTGACAGTCAAAAAAATGGTTTGAATAAGTGGGAGGATTTAATGTAAATATTTTAAATATCCTGGCTAGGCGCGGTGGCTCACACCTGTAATCCCAGCACTTTGAGAGGCCAAGGCGGGCAGATCACTTGAGATCAGGAGTTGGAGACCAGCCTGGCCAGCATGATAAAACCTCGTCTTTACTAAAAATACAAAAATTAGCTGGGCATGGTGGCAGGCACCTGTAATCCCAGCTACTCAGGAGGCCGAGGCGGGAGGCAGAGGTTGCAGTGAGCTGAGATCGCGTCATTGCACTCTAGCCTGGGCGATGAGAGTCAGACTTTGTCTCAAAAAAAAAAAAATATATATATATATATATATTTTTTTATATATATACAAAATATCCTGAAATTACCTTGCAATTTATACATTTCATACATTCATGTAAAAATTTGTGTTGAACACCAGTTGCATGGCAGATACTGTTCTAAATGCTGGCTGTCCAGTGGTATACGAAACAAATAAGAACTCCTCTAAGTTACATTATTGTGGTTAGAGCTAGACAGCAAACAAAGAAGTGTAAGTATGTACTATGTCAGGGTGGTGATAATTCCCAGCAAAATTCCAGGAAGATTATTTTTAGACTGTGACAAAATATTTTAGAGTTCTTCTGGAGCAATATCTGTGAGAGAATGAGAGAAGTTCTGAAAGATTGTCTTATTCGATATTGAAATATAATATGGAAATTAAATCACTGGTACAGGTGCAAGATAGGGCAGTGGGAGAAAATACAGAGAGGGCCAGGAAACATTGAGGCAAAAATGAGAATTTTTTGTCTAAAATAAAATTGATATTTCAGATTAGTGGAGAAGTGGATTGTTTAGTGAATTGTGTGTATCAGCTAGGTATTCGGTACTGCAAGATTTCAACTGAGTCAAACAACTAAGTCATAAAAACAGATAACATTAAAGTACCAGAAACAGGACTTTGAAAGCATGACCCTAGAAGTAGTAGAGAAAAGGTCAATAGGTTTGACATAAAAAAAGATTCAATATTTCCCAAGAGCAAAGAGTACCAAAAACAGTGTGAAAAGTCACATGATAAACTGGGGAAGATATTTACAGTACATGTAATGGACAGAGGGTTAATGTTCTTGCTAGATATCTTGAAATCAAGAAAAATAAACTCAATAAAAAGATGCGAAGGCCATAAAATGGAATTCACACACAGTGCAAGTTGAATTTTTTATTTTTATTTTTTTGCCTGCCAGAGTGCCACAGATGAAACAGATTGCTAATACCCAGTGTTGCTGGTGGGCTAGAGTGTTCACGCAGCTTTCTGCAGACCAGTTTGAAAATATTTATTAGGATTTTAAAAGTGCATTCATTGACCAGCACTTCACTTCGGAATTTAACGCAAGGAAATACTTGGGTAAATGGGCAAAACTTATTTTGTACAAAAATATTCATTGTGTTCATAATAGCAAAAAATTGGAAATCATCTCAATGCCACTTGTATTCTAACTCTATACATTGGAAAACTGAGCAGCCATGAAAATGATGTAGATTTGTTTCACCAACATGGAGAGATGCCTGTTACATATTTTATGTGTGAAGATGAGGTTGTAATATGTGTGCCTAGTATGCTATAATTTCGTACGACCCGTGGAACTGTATCTTCATGTACGATTGATGAAGATGGTATCAGTGTGTATGCCATAGAGATTAAAAGTGGTTATTTATCTGAGTGATGACTTTGTCTTCATAGTGGCGAGAATACTGAGGAGTGTCAGTAGTGGAATGCCTGCTCTTCTCATAACCGGAGCGGAAACGGAAGCGTTTTGTGAGAGGGCTGGCGGGCCGGTGAGAATGGCGTTGGCGCGCCCACCCGGCGTCGGCTCCAGGCCTGGGGCTGCGG